AACACCAAAACCAAAATGAGTTGCAGACTTTGGTTTTGTAGGTGCCAATTTCTTTTCTCAGGGTAGGAGAGAACAGGCAGGCATTTTTCAGACCCCAGGAGAGAGAGAAAGCACAAAGCCGGAGCCAGTGCTCCAAGTTGCATTCTTTTTTTTTTTAAAGGTTTTGCTTTTATATTTTTATTTTTTATTTTTGGGTCATGCCCAGCGATGCACAGGGGTTACTCCTGGCTCTGTACTCAGGAATTACCCCTGGCAGTGCTCAAGGGACCATATGGGATGCTGGGAATCGAACCTGGGCCGGCTGCGTGCAAGGCAAACACCCTACCCGTTGTGCTTTTGCTCCAGCCCCTCCAAGTTGCATTCTGACCTGGAAGCCACAGTCAGGTTCTGCTTGAAGAAGGGTGTGTGTGAGTCGTGCACTGCTCAGCCTGGAGCCCAGAGAGCATCTCAGGACAGGTGCAGTATCCCGTCTGCGCTGAGAGCCCACTGCTCCATTAGTGATCAGCTCATTACCAAACGCAACTAGAAAAGGGAGCCGGCACGTTCTCTCCTGCACATTCTGGCTTGGGGTTGAGGTTCTTTGTCCCTGGGCCCTGCCCTTTATACCCAGGTCCCTCCTAGCCACCATCCTCCATGCCTCTGCCACCCTAGTCTGTGCTGTGCCTCTGCTCCATCCAAGGTCAAAGTTAGCCCTGTGCTGTGCTCTCTCTCTGCAGACCTGGCCATGTCCCAAACCCCACTGGTATGTCCCATAGAAGCTCTACAGTAAATAAAGTGTGGTTGGCTATTAACCTCTATCCCTTATACTCTAAGTGAGGGTAATATAGAACCATCAGGCCAGAGAGAGAATTCAGCAGGTAAAGGAGTACTTGCTTTGCATGCAACCAACCTGGGCTTGATCCCCAGCATGACGTGTGATACGTTGAGTCCCCTTTGGAGGAATTTCCTGAGCAGGGAGCCAGGAGTGGGCCCTGAGCAGTGCTGTGCTTGGCTCCCAAACACACACACATTAATATACATATATATATAAACACAAAATGATCAATTTTTGGTTGGCAGAAAATGTATCCAAAAATTGCTTTCAGAAAATCTGGTACAAACACATCCCACGATCCTCTGACAATGGGCCACTGTATTATTTTTATTCCCCTCCTTGTTTCAGTGATTGAAATGAGCAGGGTCACGTGCTCTGGTCACAGCACTTGCACGCACACTCACGGGGGGTTGTGCTCTATGGCTTGGGGCTCACGTACTTTGGTTTCAATGCTCACCCCACAACTTGGTTGCAGTGATCACACATATTTAGTGTCTGTGCACTGGACATGAGACACTTAGGGTTTTCAGGGAGTGGGGGGAGGGGGTAGGTGGAGGAGGAGGCAGGGCTCGACCAGGTGACGCTCAGGAATTACTCCTGGTGGTGTACAGGGTACCATATGGGATGCCCAGGATTGAACCCAGGTTGATCGTATGTAAGGCAAATGCCCTACCTGCTATACTATCACTCCGACCCTGGTCTTCAAGTTCTTGAGTTTAATGTTTACTTGGAGCATTTTCAAATTTAAGTGTTGATAAATCCAGTTAAGGCTATAAAATGTTTTCTGAGTAAAATCCTAGCCATTTCCCATAAGTTCTGGTATGTGGCACCGTTAATTTTTAAATATTTCTGAACTATTTCTAAATAGTTATTTCGGTTTGACTTCTTAACCCAAGAGCTTATTTGGAAAGGTGATATTTTGAGAAGAGAAAATTTGCGGCATTTCTAGAAATGGCATCTACTACAAACTCTGGGACTAGCTAAGTGACCTAAAATTGTCCCTTTTTGATCAATTTCATAGCTGCTAGACTCAAAGAGCCAGTCAGATTTAATTGATCTATTCCAACGCTAAAAAGGTAGAGCTAAGTCATTTCATGAAGTCAAGAAGGGTTTATGCCAAAATCTTCCAGCAGTGAAGGGACATACTTTGAGACCTCTTGGCTTCCAGTGAAATGTCTGTTGCTGCCACACTTAGACCTGGATCTTAAGACAACTCCTCTCAATGGTATTTATGTCTAGTCTACACTCTGGTACCATTCTAGGAATACAATCCAAACCAAAATCTCAGCTCTCTTGGGCTTTTGCACGGGGAGTTTACTTTCAATTAAGGGAGCCAAAACGTGTGAAAATAGGCCCATTGGAGTGCTGGAGCGATAGTACAGCAGCAGGTAGGGCGTTTGCCTTGCACGCGGCTAACCTGGGTTCGATTCCCAGCATCCCATATGGTCCCCCGAGCACTGCCAGGAATAATTCCTGAGTGCAAAGCCAGGAGTAACTCCTGAGCATCACCAGATGTGACCCCCCCCCAAAAAAAGAAAGAAAGAAAGAAAGAAAATAACCCCATGGAGATAGCAAAGGACCCTCAAGTGCAACCAAGCCAGAGAGGCTCTAGGGTCTTCTCACAGAGTCTTCTGGGCTCTCTAAGTATTTGGCTGTTTTAGTTTGGGGACCATACCATTAGTGGAGAGTGTTACGCCCAATTCTGCCCAGGTGTCTCTCCTGGTAGTGCTCAGGGGGCCAACCACATGGTGCTGGGAATGAAACTCTAGCTCTCTCATGCCAAGCACATGCTCCAACCCTTTGAGCCCTCTCCTGACCCCTTGGGTCCTCTGATTCTTGCTAGCTGTTTACACTGTTGTCTTTTCCCCCTGCTCTTCAAGTGGAAGGCAAAACAACTATGCATTGCTTCTCTTGAGTCACCATCTCTCCCTATACCTGGTCTCCTAACCAGCAGACATCAGCTCAGCACCTCCTATGTGTAAGCCTAAGCACAGCAGCACAGAGCATTTCTCTTTTCTTGTGATCCTCACTTAACTGCCCATCCTATAGCTGAACACATCAAGATTCATACCAATGAAGTCACCAAAAGTGAGTACCCAACTCTAAGGACCTTCACCTTCCAAGTCCTCGAGGTGTTGCTTGCTTTTTTTGGCTTATCTCAAGGGCGGGGTGGGGGTAGCTTTGGAGAAAAGCTGGTAGAAGTCCCACCGGCTTTGCCTTCTGTTATCAACATGAGTGAATCTACCTGATCGCATCATATTCTCTTTGGCATCTCATCAAAAAATGAGCATTTCCATAGCCACCAATTGATGAGCTGCCTGAACAGTATGGGGGAAGGAAACCTTTGTACCCTGGAGAGAGTAAAGGTAAAAGCAAGCTGTGGAGTGGAGCTCCGACTCTACTGCTCACCAGCAGGGCAGAGCGGGAGGGCAGAGACAGCGGACTTAGCCTCCTGTCCAGCATCGCCCAGAGCACATAAGGGAGTCTGGACTAAGCCCAGGTCTGCCAGGCTACATAACTCATCTTCTCCTGCCTCCCAGAGGCTGCACAGAGCCTTCAAACCTAGTCCCTGAGCAAGAACTGTGACATCCTCGGACAAGCACAGGATTCTGTCACCTCCAGCCCCTTGGATAACATCTGGAATACCCCTGACAAGTCTGGAGTAAAAGTTAAGGCAGAGAAAGCATTGAACCCCCTAGAGACTTTGCCCTCACAAGCACCCTGCAGAAAAGCCAGGGGCTGAGGATGGCAGTCAAAGATTTTGTTCCAGACTGCAAGTCAGACGACTGAAGGGTGTTGCCTAGAAGCACAGGCGGAGCCTGGCACCTGTACACAAGGGACACCGTGGAGAGAAGAGGTGAGAGAAGGGCACAGGCAGAGCAAGGCTGCAGGCCCCCAGAAGGAAGGGCTCTAAAACACAAGCTGTGTGCTGGAGCTATAGGACAGTGTGTAGGGCCTTGCCTTATACGACCCCCAGCATCCCATATGGTCCCCCAAACCCAGTCAGGAGTGATCCCTGTGCAAAAACAGGAGTAATCCCTGAGCAGAGCCAGGTGTAGCCCCCCCCCCCCCCACAAAAAATTTTTTTTAATAAAGGACAAGTTGTCCCTTAGGGGCAGCTGCGGTGAGCAGGAGGAGTAAGCACTGGACATCTCCTGGGACAGACAAGCTGTCATCTCCCCAGTTGCTAGTGCTCAGCCACTGGCACCCCAAATGGTCTAGCAAACATCATGCATTGCTGGAGGGATAAAGAGGAGAGCACTTTTCAGTTGCTTTGCAATTCTGGTTTATTTGGGGGTCACCCCTACCCATGTTCAGGGCTTACTCCTGGCTCGGTGCTCAGGGATTACTCCTGGCGAACTCAGAGGACCATGTGGGTTGATGTGGATGAAACCTGGAGTCAAGTTCCTCAACCCCTGGACTCTCTGGCCCTGCTCGGAATTTTCATTCCATTCATGCTTCCCTTTTAGCCATTCCGGTTGCATCCACACTGTCTTTCTACCCCATTTCTCCCCAGGCCTTGCTCCCATACAAGACTGTGGGCTGGGGAGCCCCTAAGAAAGGACTGGTGATGTTCACCTCTCTTCCGGTGCTGAAGGACTCTTTGTTTTAAGACAATACCCAGCAATGCTCAGGGTTTACTCCTGGCTCTGCACTTTTAATGGTGATTACTCTGGCTCTGCACTTCTGGTGGGGCTCAGGGGATCATTCAGGATGCCGGGATCAAACCCATGTCAGTCATGTGCAAGACAAGGGCACTACCCTCTCTACTCTGACCCCTGGAGGACACATCTGATGACCTTCAGGCAGATGGCCAAGGGCTGGAGGCTTCCTCTGCAAACTGGACCCAGGGTCATTTCACACAGACCTTTAGGTAGAGACAAAGGGACACCAGAATGGCACCCCTGTGTGTCTGAGTGGTAACAACAAGATCAATTAGTGGGCCCCCATCCGTAAATAGGCTTTGGGAAAAGGCCTGGCAATCTCTTTCCCAGTGGAAGCTAAATCTGGGTGGAAGCCCAGCTCTCTTCCTCACGAAGCAGAAAATATGATTCTCAGATAGGAAAAGCATCTCACTCCCCCTACCCCCCCACCCCAACAAACCCCACACACAGAAGATCCACCCTCTCCTCTCACTGGCCCGGAACTTCGCTGGAATTTGCACCCTCTTATCCTGAGAGCTTACCTCATGCCCTACAAAGGAGCGTCTGGGAGAGAAAACAGCATCATTTCTTCTGAAAATGGCTTTCTTAGTTTTTAATCAACTCGGACCCGCCATCTCCTCATGTAATGTGTTATTTCCTGAAATTGTATATAATGGGTCTTGAAAGAAAATTTTTTGGGGGAAAAAAAACAGTTTTGAAGTCCACTAAATGCCCACCATCTCCATAACCACTCAAATCAGGCTTTTTTTTTTTTGGTAATTCCTTTAAATTAAATATCTTTGATAATAAATGCAAATTAGGGAACAATAAATTATAACTTCTAGCTGACCAGTGACTAATTATATATATTATAATTAACTCCAGTTTCCAACACAAGGTATTTATCTTAATAATCAGCCCACAGACATTAGCATATCTTAAAGGGATTTGTAAAATGGGCTTCACCATTTGAAGGACCATCCAAACTTCCTCCCCTGGACTATGTGAGGCTACACAATCAAAAGAGATGGAATTCCTCTATAAAAGACGTTTGGGCTAAATATAAGTTGAGAAACTCAGATTATAGGCATAAAACCCTGATTTAAAAATATTTATCCTAAATACCCCCTCTGTCCATTTCTGAAAAGCCTTTGGGGGACTAAACATCTACAATTTCCTCAGCTGTGTTCAAAATATTTTTAACCCTACCTAGGGTTTGTGATTGCAGCCAGACAGAGAGCATGCACAATGTGCTGAGCACAGGCTTCACATGCAAGAGCCCCGGGTTCCATCCCCAGCACCACATGGTCCCTGCCAGGAGCCACCCCTGAGTGACGGGAGTAGATCTGGAGCATCTACAGGTATGACAAAAAACTCACTAACCAAATTAAACAAAACTTGAGTTTAGGATTAGGATTTTCCCAAAGGAGATGGAAGTTCTTTCCAGAAGGTTCTGAGGGTGTTTGCTGAGAATCAGAAAGGACAGTCAGTGGTACCAGGCAAAACAGCTGCCACCAATATCCTTCCTATTCAGTCCGACCTTCTGGTCATTTTAGAAACCTTATTGTTCTATGATCAGCTGAGCTCTTGAGCTTATAAAGAAGGTGAGGGGGTCTGCGTGGACTTTTTTTGGTCCACTTTTCTGCATTATATTTACATCTACGTGTGTATGTGTGTGTGTGCGCGTGCGCGCGTGCGTGTGTGTGTGTGTGTGTGTGTGTGTGTATGTGTAAGATGCTAAATTTTGCTTTTCAGATTTGCTATGGAGTTCAGCAGAGTTGACCAAGGGTATAAGAAACAGACAGCAGGTCACTCCCTCCTCTGCCCGCCACCTGATTGTCTTAATGATCCTGCGAGCTTGATCTCTACCTCTCTGGGCTTTTTCTGGGGCGCTCAGGCATCTGTGGGGTGAGCAGTTAAGCCTTTTGATTCAGCTGGTAATCCCAGCTCCGGCCATTATCGCTGAATTTCCCAGCTGTCCCTGGGTAATTGTCCAAGGGACTTAGACGAGACAGACCAGCCAAAGGCACCCCGAAGGTCAAACCACAATAGAGCGTGGCCTGATTTTATCCGGGAGATTGATGCACAAATCACCTTGATTTCGATTTGGCACCGGGGTTATAAACCGCACTTGCAATCACCGATAAAGTGGGAGATCAGGCCCCAGTGTGGACATTGTATTTTACACCCTCCGTGGACTTTTCCCTAATTCAACCATAAATCAGACCCCAAAGCAGGGCGTTGGGTCCATGTTAATAGAGACACGGCAGGGAGAGAGTCAGGAAGTTGTGAGATGGAGACCGTTCTCGAACTTGGAAGAGCTGGAGGTCTTCAGTTTGTCATTGGGATGTGACTTTGCTAAGAACCATGTCCAGTGGGGACATGGAGGAATGACTCCAAGGGAAACCAAGGGAAACTGAGAATCATGATCTCAATCTCAGGTGGGTGAGAATGAAGTACAGAAACAAAGCCAAAGCTTCCACATCGTAAAAAAAAAAAAAAAAAAAGAATGTTAAAAAAGAGTCAAGTATTGTAAGAAAGAAAGAAAGAAAAAAAGAAAGAAAGAAAGAAAGAAAGAAAGAAAGAAAGAAAGAAAAGGAGGAGAGGATGCCACAGGGAAGATCCACCCCAATCAGAAGACCAGAACTAAGCACAACAATGTGATTGTCCAATGCCCAATCCCCTGATCGCCTCTAGGAGAGGCTCGTGTCAGGTTTATTTTGAAGCAAGGACTACATTTTTTCTTACAACACACAGTTAACAGTTTCACTGGTTAACTTAAGCAGTTCATACAGTGAGAACTGACACCGATCTATGGTCATAGAGTCAGTTCCAGAACCAAGGAAAAATGGCCCTTGGCTTAAATTTTGCCCCCAATTCTGCTCCCCTAATCTTCCTTCTCTCCCTAATACTTGTCCCCAATTCACATGTGGGCCTCCCAGCACAGCAGGCCTCTTGACCTAGGATGGTGTTGGAGGAGCAGGCAAGTACCAACAAGCCAATGTAGAGCTATCGAGGATGAACAAGACCAGGGAAAACTATACAGTCAAGTAGTTACTTGCGTTAATTTTCCCCGCCCCCTCCCCCCCACACCCCCCAGTTTTCTTCTTGAGCTTCAAACTTCTTCCTTCATCAAAGCAAGCAGGAAACATTTCACGAGAGCTGGTCCCCCTGCTTGGGTTTACATATAAAACCCTTCTCAACCAAGGGAAACAGAAACGAATAGGCTGACTCCATAAGAAAAAAAAATGTATTCTGCTTAAGTAGCTACACTTTGTTCAACGTAAGGAGGAAAGGCTCCAAATCCTACACAATGTACACATTCCATAAAAATGTATCTGAACCACAGAACTGACAAAGCTGGAAGCATGAGATCCAAACGACAATAATCAAACTTAAAATGGGGCCTGTCAGGAAGGTCAGTTGGGGAATGAGAGGGAGCCTGTGACACTAGTGGAGGGAAGGTGATACTGATAACGGCACTGGTGTTGGACTATTATATGCCTAAACTCAACTATAAATAACTTTATACATCTCCATGCCTCAATTAGAAAAAAAAATTTAATTTTCACACTTGGAGTCGGATAGTACAGCGGGTAAAGCCCTTGCTTTGCATGCATCCAAGCTGGTTCAATTCCCAGAACCTCATATGGTTCCCAGAGCCTGCCAGTAGTGACCCCTGAGAGCAGAGCCAGAAGAAAGTTCTGAGCACAGTTGGGTGTGGCCCCAAAACTAAAAACTAAAAAACAAATAGATCTCACACTGGTGTTTCTGAGTGCCATTTGAGAGAGCATGATTGGGTTTGGAATAAATACTGTTCTGGTACTTACTCAACAATAAATAAGTCTAAAGGGCAGCATTTGCCAAGTAGGAAGGCTGCTTCTTAGAAAACTGTCTTGCCATGTTTTGCTTTTTCTTTGAATTAAAGTTTGGAAAGCACAAACTTCATTTTGTGCGCACCCTTTCCCTATCTTATCAAGGCAGGAAAATAAGTCACTAACACACACAAAGGACCCCGCTCCCCCTAAACCAAAAACATCTTTCACTGCACTTAGAAAGGGGGAGGAATTCTACCTGTGCTTCAAAAACTCAGTCTTGCAGGGAATTTATATTTTTGATATCTGACTTCATTGTATCCAAATGAAACTCTCTAACATTTGTATACAAAACAAAACAAAAAGATAAGAATAAAAGGAGGGTTCCCTCCTGCACTTTGCCTGAGGTCATCTGTCAACTTGAAGTAACAAAAAAAGAGCAAAGTAGAAATCACATTCTCTTTCCAGCCTGCAGGGCTGAGCCTGTAATTAGAGAGAAGACCCCCAACCGCTGGTGTGGACCCCCTCCTCAGTGCCCACCACTCTCCAGCTATAGAGCAGCAGGTAAAGGCTGGGAGTCCCCGCCCCCCCCATCCAGCCTTGAGGGCATACAGAGGGCTTCCCCTGGGGCTAGATAGTAAAATAGGGCACTTGCCTTGCACTGGCCGACCCACGTTTCAATCCCTGTATCCCATATCACATATGGTCCCTGGAGCACTGCCAGAAGTGATTCCTGAGCACAGAGTCAGGAGTAAGTCCTGCTGGACAGGTATGGCCCAAAACAAACAAACAAAAAGTGTGTGTGTGTGTGTGTGTGTGTGTGTGTGTGTGTGTGTGTTCAGCGGAGGCAGGGAGAGGGAGGGGGAATCCTTCTACTTCCTGGCATTGGGGACCTTTCTGGATGGTGGTACCCCATTCAGAAAAAGGCAGATAAAGGCAAAACCAGAGGGAAACCCAGTGTGGGGCTGCTAGGTGCTTATGAAGTGTATCACTTAGGGTGGACTGTGCCTCCTGGGAGTGGGTGAGCAGAGGGTGGGAGTGGATACTCCCAGGGCAGGCTGCATTTCACTGGGTATCCGTGTCTTCTCCTCAGCTTCTCAGGGTACAGGGGGCTCCCACTGACCCCAGGCTGCCCACTTGCTACACAGGACTGGAGGTCAACTTGGCAGCGCCTTAGTCCACCCTGGGAAAGATGTGGAGGAAGCCTGTTTCTCAAGGCCGTGGGCTATGTGCCCAGCCACTAGTGAGCTCGGATATAGGGAGGTGATGCCTCCAGCGAGCACCCCCACTCCCATGAAAAATAGGGGACACGGCTCATGCTTTCCACCTCTCTTGAGATTAGACCAGCTGACTGAGATGCTTGCAAAACTCCTGGTCCAGTGTCCACACATAAGGAAGCCCACTGCAACGGGAAACAAGACCATTTGCACTTGGGCTTACTTGCAAAACCACTATCTTTTTCTAAAGAGGATACCCCTCAACTGGAAAGTCATCAAATTCCCAGGAGGGTCTCTACTACATTGAGGAGCTATGTCAACCCCCAAATGACCTCTACCAGGGCCCTCTGTGCCAGGAAAGGTCCTGAACCCATGGGGGCCCAGCAAGTCAGGAACCATGCACAGACTACTGACATTGAGCTGGGGGTGATGCTTCTAGCAGGAAGGTCTCAGGGAGCACAGACAAGGCATTTGAAAGAAGATACTAAAGACAACTTGGGAAGGGGCAGCTCCTCTGAGATGACCACAAGCAGAGGAGGGGTTGGGGGAGGGGTGCCCCATCAAGTCAGCCTGTGTCCAACAGAGATGGGCCCCCAACCCAAACCTGAGTGAGACAGCTGTGATGT